CCCATCTAGAATCACACCCAAATATTTAACCTTATTGGAAATATTGATTGTCTTGTTCAGGAAGACCGGTTCATCGATATGGTCCAGTTTTCTTTTCCTAGTGAATAGACATATCTCAGTTTTTTTTTCCGGGTTAACGTTAAGACCTCTCGGTCTGACCCAGTTGTATGTAAGTTTCATAGCCGACTCGGCCCTTCTGCACAGCAAATGCAGAAGTATTATAAGTATTATAACATCGTCTGTATAACAGACTGGTTCAAAGGCTTCATTCGTTAAAGTCCTTAGAAGACTGTTAATGGTGGTAACCCACAGGAGGGGTGATAATATCCCTCCCTGTGGAGTTCCTTGACCAACTTTGTTCCTTATGTTAACGTCATATAGCCCACAGCTTATTCATCTATTCCTTAACATATGGTTTTTCCAGTCCTTTATGGCCCGGTCGACCTGAAAATTATCTAAGGATTGGATGAGTGTATTTGTGCTGACGTTGTTGAACGCACCTTCGATGTCAATGCATACTGCTAGTGTATACATCTTCTTATCGAAGATGCTGTCGATGTGGTGTACTACCTCATGTAATGCGGTTTCCACTGAACGTCCTTTAACGTATACATGCTGTTTGTATTTAATCATATCGTTTTCAATTCTGCTCTTAATCATGGTGTCGATTGCACGTTCCATGGTTTTGAGTAAGAACGATGTTAGACTTATCGGTCGATAAGTCTTGGGCATTGCGTGCTTGCCTTCCCAGGTTTGGGTATGAAAACTACCCTCGATTCCTGCCAGGCTTTAGAGGCATACGGAAACTTTAAGCACGCGGCTAAGTTGGACGAAATAAGGTCCATTTCCTTTTGGAGCAGAGCCGGGAAGACCATATCTGGTCCCGCTGCCTTAAACGGTTTGAAACTTCTGATGGCTTCCTTTACCATAGTTTCATCAATTTAAGGTGCTTCCTCAGTCGCGATCCTTCTATTCTATTGTTTCCATCTTGTTACACATATTATCCCCTTTGTCTCGGCTTGTTTGTGGGTTTTCGAAGGAAACTTTTTTGTTTTTGAAACATCATTCACGCTATCAACCTGTTCGTAGAAAAGCTTGTTGTTTTATTTAAGTTTGTTAGGTAGCTGTCCCAGAATACTGCTAGTTTTTTACGCCGAGCTCTGTTGTAAAGTCTTCGGACCTCATTTCCTTTGTTATGAAATTCCCCTGTCATCATGGGTTTTTCGTAAGCAGATTTTCTTTCTCGAAGTGGACAGTATTCCTCGAAAGACTTTACTAGGGTCTCCGTTAACCTATTTACATCCCTGTCTACGTCGCCTGTGTTTAGGCATTTAATTTTCCCTGCCCTATCCTCTCTTTTACTAGTTTCCCATACTTCATCCAGCCAGTCTTGGATTTGTTCCGGAAACGTATTGGGTTCGGCGGCGCCCGTGTTAGTTCAAATCTTATACACCTATGATCCGAGAAAGAGTGTTCTTCCGAAACCCTCCAATTCTGAATCTCGTTTATAAGATTTCCTGAAAAAAAGTAATGTTAAAACCTCCTCCCTAATTTTGTTTACAAAGGTCGCTTTATTCCCAATGTTAAGAATAATTAGGTCGTTAGTATTTAGATAATCTAGTAGAGACTGGCCCCTTTTATTAGTGTTAGCATTACCACACGCAATGTTGTGAGTGTTAGTATCGCTACCTACTAGAACTTCGTTACCTGTTTGTTTTGTTTTTCTCACCAGCCGCTGAAGTTCCAACGTAGGTGGTTATGTCGGCGCGTCGAACGATAGGTATACTGACGCTAGGTATATGTTTCCATTCCCCAGCCTCAGTACTGTTGTGTCCAATGGGGAGAAAAGAAAACATACGTTTTTGTGACATATTATACAAGTTCTGGGTCGAGACCCTGTATTGGCATAGAATAGTTGGTAATTTAGTCCAGATACCTTGTACCGAACTGTCCAAGGTTCCTGAATTAAACCAACATGCATCTTACCTGTATTTATTAGTTTCATCAGAGTTATAGTTGCGGTCTCGATCCGATGAAGGTTGATCTGGATGACCTCGATCATTGGTTCTCCAGTAAACGGGCTTCTTGAGAGTCGGTAATTTTGTCACCGACTCCCTGTTCTGTGTTGCTTGGGGGTGTTCTTTCTCATCCTCGCTGTTACACTTTTTATCCTCGTCTCCGATCCTCACCTTGTTATTCTTGAACCTGACAGCGTTCGAGACATAGAATGCAATGCCCTTAGTCTTTGTCAGACTGGCCATGGAGAGATCGTCAACTCCAATCACAAGGAGATTGTCATCCTCCTTCTCCTCCCTGTGAGACGTTCCGTCTCGAATTTGCTGCCAAATCCTCTGACTTATACCGTCGTTTTAGAGTCAAGCTCAACAGGGTCTGCTTTCCCCGCTAATTATTCCAAGTCCGTTCCCTTGGCTACCGTTTTCCCACGGGGGTTTTATCTTCTCGATAATCCCCCTTTAGAGCGGCAGTGTTGGCATGCGCAGCAAGCGTGAAGAACATGTTATTATTCTTCATGCCGCTGCTCACGATAGGGATTGGATCTCCACCTTCCATGATGTTATCCAAAATTTTGTTGTTGACCATTTCCTCTTATGCTTCCAAATGGTCTTTAGTCAATTTGGGTTTTTGCTGTTTTGTTGCCTTTTGAGCTTTCGCCGTTGGGCCCCAGACAGCTTTTTCGTTCTAGTTGTGAGCTTCGCCAAACTGTCACTCACTTCTTTTATCGTCTTGTGCGCCTCTTTCTTAGTAGGGATTCGGTGAGCTATAGTTACAATCTTTAAGTTTTTTTTTTATAAATTACTGTAAAAAATGAGAAAAGAGTCCAATCTCCGACTTCAATTGTCCACTCTGTTCTCGATTCGGAAAGAAAGAACAACATTATTATTGGGATGTAGTTTCAATTCTGGTTTTTATTTAAAAGTATGTTCCTTAAGCACTACTGAAACTAACCTAACTTAACTGCTTGTCATTTAATTTCAGTGGTCTTGTATATCTACTGAGCCCATCGATACCTGTGCGTGTGGGTCATAACCTTTATTACCTCACACATTATCGTATGCGTCAGCGCACAAGATCACCAAATTGTTCACATGTGGTGTTTTATGGCGGCTGGGAAATATGTAATTTAAAATATTTATTATTTATTGCTTGATTTTCCCAGCACCTCAACCACACTCAAAAGTATGTTCAAAGTATTTTGTACATTCTCTCGGGCGGTTTAAATGTGCATGTTTATAGTGGACTGTATTTTTATGAAATTGAAAAATTGATTGGCACGAAATATTTGAATATTTTCTTTTAAGCAGGAAATCTGTTTTATATTAACCGCATTATGTCCCTCTCTTCCATTTACCAGTTGTTTGGACAGGTCGTGTCTCTCAACCTTTACTCTTGTTCCGTGTCTTCATTTATATTGGTTTGTTGCTTTATTTGTTCCATCATCGTTTTCATATGCTCCTGCTGCTGCAGCATCATCTCCTGGAACGCCAGAAACTGTTGCTGCATTGTTACTGTATTGTTGTATTCGGGTGTATTTACTGCACCAGGATTTTCTAGTTGAATATCTACTGACGCTGTTGTATCCTCTGCTTTGGGAAGCTCAACCTCCACGTTTTGTAGCTCCTGTTTTTGGGACTCCTTTTCCATTTTTGGTATCAGCTTTTGCTTTTTGATATTTCTTTTCTTGTTTGTTTTTTATGTTGCCTTCTTGTTTTTTTCTTTTATTTGTCCCCCTTTTTTTTGTTGGGATTTTTGATGTCCTCTTTTCAAAATTGTATTATTTTTCTTTGTGATTTTGTCGTCTCACCAATAGAAGACGACAAAATCACAAAGAAAAATAATAAAATTTTGAAAAGAAGACATCAAAAATCCCAACAAAAAAAGGGGGACAAATAAAAGAAAAAAAAAAACAAGAAGGCAACATAAAAAACAAACAAGAAAAGAAATATAAAAAAGCAAAAGCTGATACCAGAAATGGAAAAGAAGTCCCAAAAACAGGAGCTACAAAACATGGAGGTTGAGCTTCACAAAGCAGAGGATACAACAGCGTCAGTAGATATTCAACTAGAAAATCCTGGTGCAGTGAATACACCCGAATACAACAATACAGTAACAATGCAGCAACAGTTTCTGGCGTTCCAGGAGATGATGCTGCAGCAGCAGGAGCATATGAAAACGATGATGGAACAAATAAAGCAACAAACCAATATAAATGAAGACACGGAACAAGAGTAAAGGTTGAGAGACACGACCTGTCCAAACAACTGGTAAATGGAAGAGAGGGACATAATGCGGTTAATATAAAACAGATTTCCTGCTTAAAAGAAAATATTATAAAGTGTTTCCCATCGGCAAGCCCTCATTTTCAGGAACGAAATGGGGAAGGAAATTCCGATTCCGCTCTGGCCAATGAACCACTCCGGGAGGAACTTATCTATTTATTTAAAAAAAATAATAGCAATGGAAATGAGCACTACCTTAACATACTTTTGGTAGGAAAGGAAATAAATAATCTCATTGCAGAAGAGAAAAAAGAAGGAAAGCTGCTACGTACAGAAGGCCCCATCATTTCCAACGAATATGGAAAAGAATACATCGAAGAAGAGGGAAAAGCCGAAGGAATTTCTTTGTTTATGAAAGAGTATTATAAAAGAGAAATCAATAGCAAATGATCAATGGCCGTGAAAACCGAGCCAATGCCGAACCTTTCCTACAGGCATGATGACAGTCTGCAACAATGGACTATTAAATCGGCAACATGGACAAGGAAGAGGGCAGATAAAGGTGGTGGTATAGGCAAGAAAAACTGGGCAAATAAGTGGAGTCGTTTCCTGGAAGCGGTTACCTAACAATATATTTATATTATTTTACATAATATATACTTGAAATTATATATTATTGTATTCAAATATTTCGTGCCAATCAATTTTTTAATTTCATAAAAATACAGTCCACTATAAACATGCACATTCAAACGCCCAAGAGAATGTACAAAATACTTTGAACATACTTTTGAGTGTGGTTGAGGTGCTGGGAAAATCAAGCAATAAATAATAAATATTTTAAAATTACATATTTCCCAGCCGCCATAAAACACCACATGTGAACAATTTGGTGATCTTGTGCGCTGACGCATACGATAATGTGTGAGGTAATAAAGGTTATGACCCACACGCACAGATATCGATGCGCTCAGTAGATATACAAGACCACTGAAATTAAATGACAAGCAGTTAAGTTAGATTAGTTTCAGTAGTACTTAAGGAACATACTTTTAAATAAAAACCAGAATTGAAACTACATCCCAATAATAATGTTGTTCTTTCTTTCCGAATCCAGAACAGAGTTGACAATCGAAGTGGGAGATTGGACCCTTTTCTCATTTTTTACAGTCATTTATAAAAAAAAAAAAACTTAAAGATTGTAACTATAGCTCACCGAATCCCTACTAAGAAAGAGACGCACAAGACGTTAAAAGAAGTGAGTGACAGTTTGGCGAAGCTCACAACTAGAACGAAAAAACTGTCTGGGGCCCAACGGCGAAAGCTCAAAAGGCAACAAAACAGCAAAAACCCAAATTGAATAAAGACCATTTGGAAGCATAAGAGGAAATGGTCAACAACAAAATTTTGGATAACATCATGGAAGGTGGAGATCCAATCCCTATCGTGATCAGCGGCATGAAGAATAATAACATGTTCTTCACGCTTGCTGCGCATGCCAACACTGCCGCCCTAAAGGGGGATTATCGAGAAGATAAAACCCCCGTGGGAAAACGGCAGCCAAGGGAACGGACTTGGAATAATTAGCGGGGAAAGCAGACCCTGTTGAGCTTGACTCTAAAACGACGGTATAAGTCAGAGGATTTGGCAGCAAATTCGAGACGGAACGTCTCACAGGGAGGAGAAGGAGGATGACAATCTCCTTGTGATTGGAGTTGACGATCTCTCCATGGCCAGTCAGACAAAGACTAAGGACATTGCATTCTATGTCTCGAACGCTGTCAGGTTCAAGAATAACAAGGTGAGGATCGGAGACGAGGATAAAAAGTGTAACAGCGAGGATGAGAAAGAAGACCCCCAAGCAACACAGAACAGGGAGTCAGTGACAAAATTACCGACTCTCAAGAAGCCCGTTTACTGGAGAACCAATGATAGAGGTCATCCAGATCAACCTTCATCGGATCGAGACCGCAACTATAGCTCTGATGAAACTAATAAATACAGGTAAGATGCACGTTGGTTTAATTCAGGAACCTTGGACAATTCGGTAAAAGGTATCTGGACTAAATTACCAACTATTCTATGCCAATACAGGGTCTCGACCGAGAACTTGTATAATATGTCACAAAAACGTATGTTTTCTTTTCTCCCCAGAGTTGTCAACATCGGACACAACAGTACTGAGGCAGGGGAATGGAAACATATACCTAGCGTCAGTATACCTACCGTTCGACGCGCCGACATAACCACATACGTTGGAACTTCAGCGGCTGGTGAGAAAAACAAAATAAACAGGTAACGAAGTTCTAGTAGGTAGCGATGCTAACACTCACAACATTGCGTGGGGTAATACTAACACTAATAAAAGGGGCCAGTCTCTACTAGATTATCTAAATACTAACGACCTAATAATTCTTAACATTGAGAATAAAGCGACCTTTGTAAACAAAATTAGGGAGGAGGTTTTACACATTACTTTTTGTTCAGGAAATCTTATAAACGAGATTCAGAATTGGAGGGTTTCGGAAGAACACTCTTTCTCGGATCATAGGTGTATAATATTTGAACTAACACGGGCGCCGCCGAACCCAATATGTTTCCGGAACAAATCCAAGACTGACTGGATGAAGTATGGGAAACTAGTAAAAGAGAGGATAGGGCAGGGAAAATTAAATGCCTAAACACAGGCGACGTAGACAGGGATGTAAATAGGTTAACGGAGACCCTAGTAAAGTCTTTCGAGGAATACTGTCCACTTCGAGAGAGAAAACCTGCTTACGAAAAACCCATGATGACAGGGGAATTTCATAACAAAGGAAATGAGGTCCGAAGACTTTAGTATTCTGGTTTTCTAGTATTCTAACAAACTTAAATGCAACAAAAAGCTTTTCTACGAACAGGTTGATAGCGTGAATGATGTTTCAAAAACAAAAAAGTTTCCTTCGAAACCCCACAAACAAGCCGAGACAATGGGGATAATATGTGTAACAAGATGGAAACAATAGAATAGAAGGATCGCGACTGAGGAAGCACCTTAAATTGATGAAACTATGGTAAAGGAAGCCATCAGAAGTTTCAAACCGTTTAAGGCAGCGGGACCAGATATGGTCTTCCCGGCTCTGCTCCAAAAGGAAATGGACCTTATTTCGTCCAACTTAGCCGCGTGCTTAAAGTTTCCGTATGCCTCTAAAGCCTGGCAGGAATCGAGGGTAGTTTTCATACCCAAACCTGGGAAGGCAAGCACGCAACGCCCAAGACTTAACGACCGATAAGTCTAACATCGTTCTTACTCAAAACCATGGAACGTACAATCGACACCATGATTAAGAGCAGAATTGAAAACGATATGATTAAATACAAACAGCATGCATACGTTAAAGGACGTTCAGTGGAAACCGCATTACATGAGGTAGTACACCACATCGACAGCATCTTCGATAAGAAGATGTACAACTAGCAGTATGCATTGACATCGAAGGTGCGTTCAACAACGTCAGCACAGATACACTCATCCAATCCTTAGATAATTTTCAGGTCGATCGGGCCATAAAGGACTGGAAAAACCATATGTTAAGGAATAGATGAATAAGCTGTGGGCTATATGACGTTAACATAAGGAACAAAGTTGGTCAAGGAACTCCACAGGGAGGGGATATTATCACCCCTCCTGTGGGTTACCACCATTAACAGTCTTCTAAGGACTTTAACGAATGAAGGCTTTGAACCAGTCTGTTATGCAGACGATGTTATAATACTTCTGCACTTGCTGTGCAGAAGGGCCGAGTCGGTCGATGAACCGGTCTTCCTGAACAAGACAATCAATATTTCCAATAAGGTTAAATATTTGGTTGTGATTCTAGATAGGAAACTTATTTGGAGGGACCATATCCAAGAAAGAGCAAAAAATCTCATAGTCTGTTGGCAACGTGTAAAAGGGCTATAGGCTCTAAATGGGGTTTCAATCCAAAGATGACACACTGGCTATTCAAAAGCGTAATTAGACCTGTTCTATGGATAAACAAATTAACATCAAAATACTACAAAAAGTCCAACGAGTGAGCTGCTTAAGCATCTGCGGGAATTAGAGACAATTCTATTCGGGCATCCAATAGCAATTAAGATACCGTATGAACCGTCCGTCGCGGCCTTTAGGCTTAGGGCGACTGACGAGTGGATAAATAAAGGCCACGCTACATACCATCAAATAATTTTACAGGTAACAACGGGAGAATCTATAGAAAATGTTGTATCGGACCGGATATCTGAAACGTTTGTAGCTGCCTCTTGTGAAACATTAATCCATATCATAGACTCGTGGATCGACGGATTCCTACCACAAATGCCGACTGGAAACTGTTGTTATACAGACGGCTCAGTGCTAGGGGAGAGATCGGGACTGGGACTTTTTATCGAGGATACAAAAACCGAAATCTCTTTCCGCTTGCCCGATCACAATACGATCCGGGCGATTGCAGAGTGTCTGAACTGGCTTAATGCCAACACGAGACCGGCTACCATAAACGTCCTAACGGACAGCAAGACAGCCATAATGGCTATAATATCCAAAACAGTAACTTCAAAAACTGTCTTGGAATGTATAAATTCAATCAACAACTACTCTCAACACGGCGTAGTACGCATTATATGGGTACCAGGTCATACGGTAGTTAGGGGTAACGAGATAGCAAACTCTCTCGCCAAAAGAGGCAGGGAATTAGCAACAATAAACGTAGACAATCCAGTGCTGCTAAATGCGTCACGTCTAGTGTTAAAGACATGGCCAAAAAACGCCCACATATCCCTATGGAATAATATGGGTGTAGGGAAAACCACAAATATATTATGGGCCGATCCCGATGAGATAAAAATGAAGTACCTTTTATTACTAGATATTGGCGTGATACCAATGGCGTGATACCGGAACAAATAAAACCAAAAAGAATAGAAAATAAAAACAAGGATTATGTAGTTTAGGATATATGTATTTTCAAATGGTTTATTTGTAAAGCGTGTGCGTTTCAAACGAAACGAGACTTATGCGTGTGATCACAACGAGAGCGAAAGAACAAGTGTAGTTGCAGATGAGCACAATAGCGGAACAAGGTCGTGACCAGCACCGACGACCGCAGCATTGGAAAGTGCCTCTCTGCATCCGAACTGAGCGAATATGACTTTTAGGAGAAAGTTCAGAAGAGAGCGTAAGCTCTCCCCCACGATCCGAACTAGGCGAATGTGACTCCTAAAAGAGAGGCAGAGAAGATTTCCCCATTCATCTCGACTGAGAGGCCAATTAATGTAATTAATTGTAATGCTGGAAAGGGGGGACAACGTATCGAACATATACCTTGGCGTAACCAAGGTATCGAACTTATACATTAGACGCGCTATCTGCGAGGCAACAAGAGTTAGACTAAATTCACGGCTTAAACTAAGGTTAGTACTGATGTGTGAAATTTTTTTTTCGTTCGTTCCCACGCCTCTCACTCCCACCCCTGCCGACCGAGCGGGCGACCTCCCGTACACACCAAAGACCGGGAATGGTGGGTTAGTTGTGAGTTAGTGGTGCCAGCTACAGTCTAGTACATCAGCCGGCAAAGTAATAGGTAAAAATACACTATAGAGAAAGGAATTTGAGCAAAACATATAACAAATATAACAAATATAAACAAATAACAGTGAAAATAATATGTTAAACAAAGACTAATGTTCAAAGGCTGGTATCTTTTGTTTCCGCAGAGGGAATTGTAGACTAGGTGCCGTTAAAATGAACTTAAAGATTCTGACAACTAGCGCTCAAAGGCTAAGTCTACTGGTTCCGCAAAGGGAGATGTAGATCAGGTGCCGCAAAAGTTAGCTTTTTAAAATAAAAAAAGTAGGTAAGTGAACATATACAATCACATGTGGAGAATAGATCTTTTAATAGAGTTCAACGAATTACTTAAAGAAATACTGTTACATAGACTATTGTAAATTACACATAAGGATCTCAATGGGTTACTGATTGCGAAATTAGTTCTTGCGAGAGATAACTTTAAAGGTTCGAAATAACGAGTTCTACGAGAAGGAATATTATAAGTAACTTCCCCAGTTAAAAAATGAGAATCTATCAAAACTCGTGTTAATTTGATAATAAATAACGCTCTTAGCATAAACCGCCTCCTTTCAAGTGTTGGGAGATCAATTAACAGTAAACGATTTTCATAAAGTGGAAGTAATTCTGTCGGGTTCCAGTTAAGGCCCCGTAGAGCAAAAATCAGGAATTGAACTTGAACTGATTCGATTTTATCTGAGTAGCATTTATAAAAATGACTCCACAGAATACATCCGTACTCTAATATTGGGCGAATTAAACTTACAAATAATCTTTTGGTGACATATGGGTCATCGAACTCTTTAGACCAGCGTTTTATGAAACCTAGTAAAGACTGGGCTTTATTAACACATGAGTCAATATGTGAATGAAAACGTAGTTTAGGATCTAGAATAACACCGAGGTCAGTAAAGGAATCAACATGAGATCGTGACAAGGAAAATTTTTTGCATTTCTTAAGATTAAGGGACATACCGTTGGCACTGCACCAGTTCACAAGGGAATGTAAATCGTACTGTAAGAAAGTCGAATCGTCAAGGGAATTTATATGCATGTAAAGCTTCACATCATCAGCATACATTAGTATTTTAGAGAATCGAATGTGATCCGGGAGATCATTAAGATACAGAACAAAAAGTAAAGGGCCCAAATGACTACACTGAGGTACGCCAGAAGAAACAACAATATTTTTTGAAAATGAATCATTGAAAATGACTTTTTGGGTACGACCCTCCAAGTATGATGAAATCCAGCCTAACAGAGCGGTCGGAAAACCCATAGTATCGAGTTTATATAGCAAAAGCTTATGCAGTACGGTATCAAAGGCTTTACTGAAGTCTGTATAAATAGCGTCAGCTTGTTGTTTATTTATAAATCCGTTGTGAACATGGCACACAAATTCTAAAAGATTAGAAGTAGTAGATCTGCCTTTCATAAAACCATGCTGAAAAGGTGATAATATGCTTTTTATAAAATGTGACATCCGACGTGAGACTAAGAGTTCGAAAAGTTTAGGAATGGCACTTAACTTAGCAATACATCTATAGTTATCTATGAAACGTCTATTGCCTGATTTATGAAGTGGAATAACAAAACTCGATCTCCAGAAGCTTGGAAAATAACCTATTTTCAAAGAGTAATTAAATATCTTAGTCAATGGTAAGTATAATTCTCTAGCACAAGATTTTAAAATATAGGTTGGAACACCGTCAGGGCCAGGGGAAAATGAGGAGCGTAATGTCTTTAAACCATTTAAGACTTCGTCTTCGGTTAAGATAATGCAGGGAAAGTGATTCAATGAAGTGGTATGAATTTCGCAAGGGCCTCTAGATGTGCCCTG